TACTTGGAGGAAAAAAAACCACCTTCAAACAATCTTGAATAGACTGTCTGATTTCTGATAATGCTTTTCACTTGATAATACTTTTCACTTTGTTAGTGATGTTAAAATTGATAAAAGTTACAGGTCTAATCATTCACCAGTGATATTTTCTTTCAAGATTAATTAATTTATAAAAGGCAGAGGCCTTTGGAAGTTTTATAATTTCCATCTGCATGATACTGACTATGTTAAAGAGATAACAAAAGTACAGTAAAAGAACAATATGCCGTCAAGTTATATAGAAATGAAAATTTACAAAATATTGACAACTCTGAAAATGAATTTACCGTAGATGACCAGCTATTTTTCGAAACTTTACTCACAGAAATACGTGATAAAACTATTTCATATGCATCTTATAAAAAAGGAGGACATAAAAATTGAAAATGAGATTATCTTAAAATTAAAACAATGAGAAAAAAAAAATGCACTAACAGAAAAAAATCTGTAAGAGATTGATCAGAAAAAAGCAGAACTTAAAATGTTTAGACAAAAGAAGGTTCAGGGACAATATGTTAGGTCAAGAAGTCAGTGGATTGAAGAAGGAAAAAAAACCTACCATTTTTTTTAAATCTAGAGACTAGAAATTATATTAATAAGACTATTCAAAAACGTACTTAAGAAATGGGGTTGTAGTGAAAGAATAAAAAGAAATCGTCAGTCAGACAAAGATGTTTTATGAGAAACTTTATAAAAAATAAGATTGTTTGAAAAAGGTTGATTTAGCACTGGACAATTTTTATGATGATATACTGAAGCTGAGCGAGGATGAAAATCAGTTATTGGAGGGAAATAATAGTTTTTTTCTGAATTAACTGCAGCATTAAAGAGAATGAAAAATAACAGGATCTTATGGTTACACTGCAGAATTATTATTATTTGTTTTGGATTGATATTGGTAAATTTGTTCTTAGACCTATAAAGTGTTGATATGGGAAGGGTAAAATGTCTGTCAACCGGAGGCAGGGAGTGATTACATGTATTCCAAAAGAAGATAAACCAAAACAATTTCTTAAAAATTGAAGACCTATTACTCTTCTAAATTCTGCATATAAATTGGCATCAAGCTGTATACAGGTAGCAGAGAGAACAAAATCTGTTTTGTCAAAATTAATAAGTTCTGATAAAAAGGGTTTTATTCCAGGTAGATATAGAGGCGAAAATTGTCGATTGATAATGATATTCTACATTTTACTGAAGAAAATAATGTTCCAGGAATTCTTTTGCTGATTTATTTTGAGAAGGCATTTGATTCCATATCTTGGTCCTTTCTTTATGATACATTAAGTTATTTTAATTTTGGTGATTCAGTTATATCCTAGGTTAAAACTTTCTTTAATAATAAAACAGCCGCAATGATACAAAACTGTTTTCTGTCAGAATTATTCATTGTAGAGAGAGGTTGTAGATAGGGAGATCCTTTATCCCCTTATATGTTTCTGATATGTGCTGAAATATTAGGTATTTTAGTACGAAATAGTAAGGAGATAAAGGGTATTACTATAGATGACACAGAATTTGTACTTTCTCAATATGCAGATGATACATCATTGATATTAGATGGCTAGCCAGAATCACTCGATGCATCTCTTTGATTCATTGATTGAATACACATAGATAATTCACTCTCTCCGGAAGGATAGGCAATACCAGCTCAATTGATGGCACACGTCATGAATAGTAAAGAATTCCATCTGTGACTCAAACTGTGAGTAACTGTAAATCTAGTCATTTTGGACGTAAACATTTCGAACAAAATTTTTTGACAGAAGGTTGACATTGTTCAATACATGTGGCTCTTTATAAGCAGAAACTTTCTTGAAATGAAAAGAACGCCGTATACACTGACATTTCTTTGAATTATTTGATAACATGATATCCGTGTATGCTAGTATAATGGAACGTGGAGAAAGGATATGAAATTACGCAACTATCTTGATTTGCATGTGGAAATATTCTAAAAGAGGCAATTGAGAACTTAACTTTCTATTATAAAGTACATACGGATTTTTATATTTCCCATATACGCATCTGTCTATTTGAGTGAGATAAATGACACAACCGGTACAGTTTGCTTCGTGATCACCATGTTGGAGAAACAAGTCCAACTTTTTTTAATGCCTGATCATACTTTTTTTCATTTTGAAAAGTAACTTAATATAGAAAAGGGATTTCTATACGATTTACAATAAATGTGTCTTAGTTTTGATATAGATAAAAAAAAAACAAAATAATTTAATATGCCAAACATTTTTTGATAAGGGTCTTTCCGTTTTGAATTTTCGGTGGATTCGGTATTTTTTTTTTTTATTTTTGATATTTTTTTATGTACTTTAACTTGAAAATACCTACAGCTACTTTAAAACAGAATAAGAAACGATGTTGCCCTTCGAATGTTTTCTGTACGTTTGAAAGGCAATATTAAATATGAATATTTTGTATATTTTCATACACCTTATCGCTTTTTGGAGATCTGTTCCGCTTGACCCGAGATTCTGCGCCGGTTGAACTTTTAACGTCATACAACAATCACTTTTCTATTGTGGCGTCAGATGTTTTTCGTTGTGACGTCAAAATTTTACGGGAACCTTTGCAATGTCCAGTAATGGCGGACAAATATCGATAATGTGTATTGTTAGTGGACTCTTTCCCTAAAACGTAATAAAAACCTTTCAAGGAGAAAAAACAGAAAGTCTAACTTCTCAGCTTTATTGGTTTTATGTGGCTTATAAGATGTTTCCATAGTTGTATACAAAATAATTTTATAATTGTGCAGTTGGGAAATCACTGGAACAATCATAAATACAGGTTGAATGATTAGATCTTTCTATTTGACTAACATTATAATGCCGGAATTATCATAATCTACGATGCGTAACTTAAACTTCTATATTATTCTTGAAGTTTCCCTTCTATAGTGTTCTAGAAGTTTCCATGACAACTATATATACAGACACCGACATTAGACAGATCAGACATTAATATACTTGGATTCTCAGAAGATCTCTGGAGTTGTTGGATTGACACTTTCATTTATGTCAACTACATCATACTACATTGTGAACTTATTGGACATATTTCATTACAGTTTAAGGAAGAATTCCAGATAAATAAGTCTAATAAACAGACAGTAAAGCTGACATTTCAATTTGTATGATATTTCTTGTACAACCGTATAATAAACCTTGTTTAATTCTATTTTTGATTTGTGTCTTTTGTTGGGTACAATTTAAAAGTGATTTCTGACCGTTACAGCCTTCAACACTGATCATTGACTCACATCGAAAAACAAGCTATGAAGGGCCCCTGCATGACTAGTGTTAAACAATTGCAGTGTAAGGTCCAGTGGATATTAATAGACTAAACAGTAAAAGCAATAATTTGCAAAGACAAATGAAAGAACACTTCAACACGTTATTAAGATGATAATGATTTAGCTAGAAAAAAGTGATTGCTGAACCAATTTTACAAGTGAACCGTTGATGGATGTAAAATCACCTGAATATGATGCTAAACTTTAACCAGCTGGTGGTTTTACTTGGGCGATGAAGGAAACAACAACACAGAATCTCAATGTGCTTTAGAACGTTTTCATCATACACTGAAGTACATGATTAAAACTTTTTACTTTAATTTGAAAGGTGACTTTTGAAATCGGTTAAGGAAAAATAGCTTACTTAACACAATGTTTCTTCTAGACAATTTATCTACATTTAAGAAAATTATATACTGCTTGTGAAATTGCTCAGTAGAATTTAAAAACTGTTCAGAATAAGATGAAAATATGATATGATTAAGATGCCAGGGACAGACTTTTTGCAAGAGTCTTGTGATAAAGTACTTGTCCTGGACATCCTTTACAGACTAAATACTGTGGGTTTTTTTTTACAATGAAATTAAATATATGCTTGACAATGACATCCTTGTCCCCTTGTATTCAAACCAGATAAAGCCTTTCGTTTGTAACTGATTTCAGAAAAAATAATTCTGTTTCAAAATCTGATTCATATCTGTTTCGAACAACTGTTTTAACAACATTGATCAAACCAGACGGCTTAATTAGGTATACTGTCATGCCGTTTGGTGCTCTAGCTACATTTCAAAGAATAATCAATAATGTTTTAAACTGACCAAAGAGCTAGACTGTTGCTATGCCTAAATTGATGATCTTATTGTATGTAGTGACAACTGGGATGATCATTCAACAAGTTATATGATACTTTTGATAGATTGTCATAATCAACATGATCAAGGTTGACTGTTTATCTTAGTAGACATTTCCGGAAAGTCTTGGAAACCGACTGTTGACACCGACTCTGGTAGAAAAAATGTAGGGGGTCGTCTCAAAAGAATAAAGGGTACTAAATAATAAGCTTTTCAAGGTAAAATTTTAAAACAGTATAAAAAGATTTTACACAATGATTTATTTAATCAAATACGGTTTGTCTTCTTTTTATAAATCCTGCAAAAGCCTCCACAATTTGTCTGAGTTTTTTTTCTTAGGTGCCTCCACAAAAATACCCATCACGTAATATTTTTTTTTTATTTCACACACGGCATGATCGACAAGAATTCTATATTCTGCAAACATGATTCTATTAAATTTTCTACTCTTGCATTTCTGGTGATCAGGTTTTCTGTTGAAATACAAGAAAACTCTCTATCCCCTCCGTAGTAACAGTAATTGAATTATAGAATTGCAATTGTGCTTTGTACTTTTGGAGTTATGATTACAAAGAATGTCTATCTATAAAATATATTATATGCGAGATTAATCTATTTTTTTTTATTTGGTTTTCAGAGATCGGGAACGACAATCGAGCGCACCCTTCAGAGTTAGAATAAAAATTAACTTAAGTTCCACGTGTTAATGTCGTAATGTCGTAAGCGACCTTTGTTTACACAATAAATAATTTAAAAATATCCATTTACACAATACATATTAAAATACACAAGTTGAATAGCGCAGGTATATATATTTGTTGATTTGTTGGAGTCAAACAGGAATTTCTTTAAACATACTTTTTTTTCAATTTTGACAAGGATTTTCATTATATGATGTAATGGAAGATGAAAATAGGTTTGTAAAGCATTATTTATAATAGTGTTAAACTTAAAAGTTTCTCCTAAATACGCTTAATCCGCCTCTTCCCCTTTTTCCGTAAATTTGTATTTGACAATCGAATGAGGTACTAGTAATTGAATTATAGAATTGCAATTGTGCTTTGTACTTTTGGAGTTATGATTACAAAGAATGTCTACCTATAAAATATATTATATGCGAGCTTAATCTATTTTTTTTTCATTTGGTTTTCAGAGATCGGGAACGACAATCGAGCGCACCCTTCTGAGTTAAAATAAAAATTAACTTAAGTTCCACGTGTTATCGGCAAAAATCGTCAACATGGAAGGCACTGTGTTTCTGGTAAAAAGTCATTTATTTTGTCATTAATTCACTAGCAGTAAATGTCTGATTTGATAATAAAAACCATTTTCTTTTAAAAGAAAGTTTATGTTCACTTATTTTATAGTAAAACTTAGCTATTCCACTACATAAATTATATTCAACTTTTTTTTTAACTTGAAATTTCATCTGATTTTAAACATTACTTGATGAACTTTTTTAATCGTTTGTTAGGAGGAATTTGCGAAATAAAAACAAATGGAATTAATGTGTTGTGAAAAGCAGACAAAAATTTGAAGGTTGATGACTAATTACCTCTGTCGTTAAGTGCTTTTTGATACATTTTCTTTTAACATTTTTTATTCAAATACACCTACGCTATTAGTGTGACTCTTCAGAAAGATATTTCGCTTGACCCATATATATCATTTTTTTAATGTTATTATATCAAAATGTAGCCTGAATATATAAAAATGTAAGAATCTGAAGCGAGATCGTGTTTCAAATACTTTTGTTTTATACGATTTCAAGACAAAAAAGTCAACTCAAACACATATGAACATAAAAATATGAACATACCTTCTCTTTTTGATGAGATGAATGCCCATGTTTTAAAAGTTTCTTAAAATACTGTGTCCGATGGCAGTGATGTTAGATAATGCCTAAAAAGATCAATCTTTTATCTTTCTATGTTATATTTGTCGGCGGAATTTATTACTATGCATTTGCACCTACCATAATCATTTATTTTTCAAAAATTTGTGTTTTATTCAAGAATTTACAAATATCTCGGAGCTCCATGCTAAAAAAGTATTAATACGTATTCGTCAATCGATATGCAAAAAAAAGCACAAAATTATGCACCTACATAAAACTTTTAAAGCCCATAGAAACAGATGTAAACAATTTTGTTGCTGCCTGGCATCTTAAATTAATGGCGAGATCGTCATCACGAAGAACAAACATAAAACCCGCTTCAAAATTTAAATCTACCCTAGCATGGGTTTGACAGGAATTCTTTGCTTGATGCATAAAGTGTACACATACTGTAATCATGTGTTGTACCGTCTATATTCGCACAAAAACAAAGATCATCAAGAGATTCTATAATTTTACAACAAATAATATATGACGTATAACACAGACTACTCGAAAACTGACAAAAACACGTGTAGTAGTACAAATAAAAGAAATAATCATTGAAGAAACCCACTAAAATGCCCTAAATATAATTTTTAAATACGTGAGCAAACAACTTACTCGTAGTGAAATCATGCATGCTTTGTTAGGTCTATTTTTGTGTACTGTACTGTCGAAGATAATATCCACATTTTTTTTTCAACAACATATAGAATGCTGGTTGATCCTTAGTTATACTTTCGCTCTCTTTATCTTTAATCTTTTGTACTGGTAGCTAAGCTATCATGTGCTATCAACATTGTCTTTATAAAGTTATAGACTGCTCTGTTGGATGAAATTATCATTATTCATTATATACGTACCTACATAAGATATTTTGTCTAAAAATTGAATTTTGTTAGACAAATACGAAATAGCCAAGTTAATGTCGTAAGCGACCTTTGTTTACACAATAAATAATTTAAAAATATCCATTTACACAATACATATTAAAATACCCAAGTTGAATAGCGCAGGTATATATATTTGTTGATTTGTTGGAGTCAAACAGGAAGCTCTTTAAAAATACTTTTTTCAATTTTGACATGGATTTTCATTATATGATGTAATGGAAGATGAAAATAGGTTTGTAAAGCATTATTTATAAGTGTTAAACTTAAAAGTTTCTCCTAAATACGCTTTACTTTCAATATCTAAATTTACAAAGAGACTTCTTCATTGCAAATTATTTCTTTTTATGTCGTTGATTAATTTGATGACACTAATTAGCTTGAATCATACTATTATAATAACACATCTTATTATGTACCTTAGACTTTGTCTGATATTTATTTTAAAATTATATTTTCACTTTGAAATATTTTATGTTACCGACTTGTATTAAAGAGCTTGCCTCACTGATTAAACTTAAAGAAAGTCCGATTTATAGCAATTAAGACATGTCATTAACTATTTTAATTATTCGGATGAAATTTAACGTCAGCAATGGTCAACAATTTTTTATATTATTTTATTCAACATTATAGATAATCAAGAAGAGTATGTACTTGGCTTACTAAAGAAACGAAAACTGTATTCTGCTTAACACAAGTAGAGCATTAACTACTTTCCTTTCCAAAGCACCTGTGTTCACCCTCCAGTTTTTTTATCCAAATGTTCAATTGGTATATATCCTTTCTACACTTTATATTGGTTTTTGATTATGTATTTAGCGTAATATTGCAGACATCAACTAGCATACCAAGTTGTACATATCAGGTCATCATTAAGTGTCCTTTTTTCACATTTACATTCGATAATGACCAAAAATGAGACCGAGTGCACCAAGAAGATAAATGTTTCCAGGTATGCCTACAATACCCCTTGCGAAACTTGCGAATCAAGACCAAGTAAAAATGTCTAGATGGGGACTATTACACATTCTGTGAATTGACATATCAGATGCCTTTTCTGGTGTCATTTAAGCATCTAAGATCACAGCCACACTCACATATATAAACCCTTTTGTGGTTATTTTCGTACACTTCTGTGTATAATGTCCATTTTAGATCTTTCTAAAATACCCTTAGGTTTTAACGTTTTTGCTCAAGTATAGAAATACAGCTTGCAGATATATTTCTTCTCTGTAAAATGATGTAAATTTCTTTGTGGTAATATATAAAAAGACAACATAAAGCATATCGTGCACATCATAGTTGAAACGAATTTTAGGTAGAATCAAATGTTTGACACTACTTGTTACACCTTCGTTTTCTTGTTTTAGTACCTATAATTTTACTAAGCTAATCAACATTTCATACGTTTATTTTATGGTGTTATTATTTTTCGTAAAATGTACTTGATTTTATTTGCCATGGTTTACTTGACAACGCACAATTGAACATCATCTAATCAATATACAAAACAGTACTCCATTATCAATTTAAACTATCACAGAATGCCCTGTTATATTGAATTCAATATTAGCTGTGAAATGCAGAAGACACATATTCCTCCAAAAATAAAGGAAAACTTTTCACAGTAAGATACATACGGTAAACTTGTAAAACATGTAAATAAATATAAATTAGTTTCAGCATGAGAAATATTTGTTTATAAAAAAAAAAGGCAACTGGTGAAGCAGTTAGAATAAGATGGTTTTTCGTAAAGACAGGAGTAGGACATATTTCTGATTTTGTCACCCTGAAATCATGCATAAATTACTGTCCTCATTGATAAAATAGAATTGTAGATCCTATGATTATGAAGTTTACTTGAGCACTATATTCTGAAATTTAGCGCAGTAATTAATATTGCATATAACGGTATACAGTTTTACACACAACACATGCATCTAACATGTGTTTTATGATATTTTTGTGTGCTCCCATTCTAAATTCCAAAGCGCTTCAGACGCGTGAGTAAATAAAGACAACAGTAGTATATACCATTGTTCCATAGATATCAACCGATTAAGCGAAAACAAATCTGGGTCACAAACCAAACAGAGGGAAAGACATCAACTTTAAGAGGAAAACAACAGAGCAACAGCAACACTGAACTGCTAAAAAACAAACGTCAATATAAATAGAAACAGACTATTTGATAAGAACTGCCATATTCCTGACTTGGTACAACATGTACAAGGACATTTAAGAAAATTTTTTTATCATTTTTTAAATCAAGGAATTGATTCAATTCGTTTTAGCCTATTTCATTCTTTTTCGACCCATCCCTAGGCATCTGAAAAGGTAAATGAAGACTAATGATATAAGTTGGATACCAAGTGTTGTTTGTCAATGAAGCTGAACGACCGAAGGGTCTCTCATAAGTTCAAAAAATTGAAAACAACACGTTTAATAATTTCATGCGTCCGAAGCGCTTTTCTGGATTTACCTTCATCAGGAACGATCAAAGCCAAACATTTGAAATCCGAGGGATGTATAAGTACCGAAACAGTTGAAGAGCTATATGAAAACAAATACCTAATACAAATAGCCAAATCCATCTAAGGTCAACTTTGCCTGAGGCAGTTGAGACCTTAGTTTCTTTATAATTTCAACATTTATAAACGGGCAATTTTAGAAAAGTTTGTTATAAATCATGTCAGTACCGAAGTATTGACTACTGAGCAGATGATACCCTTGGGGACTGATAGTTCACCAGCAGAGGTATCGACCCAGTGATGTAAAATTTGAAAACAAAATGTTTAATAATTTCATGCGTCCGTCAACTTGTGGCACGACTTTGTGTCAATTTAAGTCGAGATGATAATATATGACGTAAACGAACAAAGCTAGACAAGAACAAAGCTAGACAAGTCATAAAATTTGTCAATTGCGGCAAAGTAAATACGGCTTGCAGGTGGACAATCAACATACCATCTATATCATTTAGAATAATATTAAAAATGTACTCTTAAACTTATACAAATGACCCTCAACTATTATTTTGTATTTACCAATTATGCTTTAAACAGATATATACCCATTTTCCCTATCAACAAAGTTTAAAGGAACGCTTTTTGTTTTTATTTCATTCTAGTATGTCGGCAGCTCCTGTAAACAACCCTGAATCTCCTACAATGATTACACAGGGGTTTGAGACTCAACAAGTTCAAACAAACAGAATCCATCAAGAAGAATTGTCAGTTCAAAAATTAAAGATGTTTGGCCGTTTACAGATTTTCCTTGGCTTTCTGCTAGTGATTCTGAGTTCAATTCGATTGGTTTTGAACTGGATTTCAATGCAGAATTATAACGATTGTTTTAATAATGAATATTACTATTATTTCGACCATTATGACAATTCATACCACCCATATTTACCACATTATGTGTTATGTAATCGCTATTACAATAGCCATCTGCAACTTCCCTTTGACATCACAAGTTTGATATGCTCTGGATGGGTAAGTACATGCATGTAAATGTGAATACATAATAGAATTGACTCACAAGAGAATCTTTGATTGATAAGTTGTGATACTATTTCAGTATGTTAGTCAAGCATGTCTTTAAAGAAAGGAAAATGCCTTTATTCATTTACTCCGATACCATTTGCTTACTTATTAATTTAAAAAATGCTTTTCATGGATTCACATAGAAAAAGTATTTAGATTTAATTCGTTAAACAGCATTGTTGTGTTATCATGTGTTCAAAATTAGTACTAAAACACTTCCTTAATGTATGAATTTAAACACTAGTACAATCATTCCTGGTACAAAATCACTTGTGTTATCATTCCTGGTTCAAAATCTTTAGTGTAATCATTTCTGGTACAAAAGCACTAGTGTAATCATTCATGGTTCAAAAACACTATTTTGAATATTCCTTGGATGAATAACACAAGTTTATTTTGTTCATTTTATTTACATAAATGAACTATGCAAGTTTAAGTTAATTCATCGCGGTGAAGAAAAACATTGTCAGTCAACCAGCTCACTATGTAATGTTACATAAAACATTGCAGACTATTCCCATTTTGCATGTATGTTTTGCTAGCGTATATTCAGTCTTTTCCTTAAATGATAAGAAAGATTAATGTGTTACAGCCACAAGGTTAGAGATAACTGCTCAGTTTCTTGTGAGTTTTAAAGTCATAATTGAAATAGATGACCCAAGCTGTTCTTTGAGTTGTCCATCTACATGTTTCTGAAATATAATATTATTGATCATGTCCAATTATACTATTGTAGTGCATTTTAACCGGTATTCTTCCCTTCTGTATGAGAAATCGGAGAAAAGCGAACTGGAGATGTCTGGTAGGTAAACTTTTATTTAAGATTGAAAAATGTTTTATTTTAAAACAAATATCGGTTGATAAGACAAAAGCAGGATGTGTGATGAGAGCAATTATTGTTGTTTCATCTTATGTTTTCCGCATAGACTGTTTTCCGTTTTGATAACTGTTTTTTTTTCTTAATTTTATGGCCTTGCAACAAAGTTGTCAGGGCAATATAGTTTTACCCTTATTCTCATTTGAAGTTTTTTCTGATGTATTTGGTATTGCTTATCTTTACGGCATACATGTTCCTTAGTTTTCCTAGTTAAAGTTATCCTTTACCCTGTTTATAATATAATAAAGCTAATTTCAATTGATGTGTATTGATTTATATTAAATTTTGCGTAACATGGTTGATTTATTAGTTAAAATTAGATTTTAACTAGCTTTCATTAACTTCGAGTACTGATAGATCGGTGCTTTTTTAAAGTTATTTTCTGTGTTCTCTTTCAATCATATGAGTCCAACTTATTTTTACAGTTTCTTCTTTTGGTGTCCTGTTATACTGCTGTCCCAGGCAAGAGTGAAGGTTCGCTCTAGCAAACACGTTAAACTCCGCCACATCTTTATGTGCCAGTATCAACTCACATGACACAGGAGCCTGTACTTCAGTGGGTCTCAATGGTTGCTATCTACCATGTATTGTTTTCTACATATATCTGGCCATTTATTTCTAGTTTTTATATAATTAAGAAAATGTGTTGTGATTGCCAATGAGACTTAGATTGTTTAACATCTTATTAAGTCGGGACATTTTATAGCTTACTATACATTCAATATACACGTTAGAAGATGCGATACACTTTATGATTGCTTTTCGCAATGAGACAATTATCAACCAGATACCTCATGACGACGAAGTAAGCACAAACATGTCACTGTTTAAACAACTGTGACCTTCAAAAATGGCAAAATCTAAACTAATTCTATCTTAATCCGTCCTTTTTCAATTATAATTTTTTTTTATTCTATATCCTATATTCTCGCCTTACGCGATGCGTTGCCTGGGACATAAAAATACCGAGACCCGTCCGTCTGTGCGTCCGTTCTTGTTCGCTCTTTCATATGGACTGATTTTTTTTTTTATGAAACTCATCTCATTGGTTTTCATCAGCAATGCGTCGAACATGTTCGAAAATCAGTTCCGATCAATTATTTGTAAAAAGATCTTTTCCATTGAAATATTGATTATATTGGACATTGCATTTTATTAACCTTCATTTCTCTGAATATCTATACTATTAAATGTGAAGACCTCATTATGTGTGTCGCTTCTCTTCCTTCCACAATAAATTAATCATCATGCCTTTGTGTCCTATAAGTACCATACATAGTCGTCTTTGTCATTTTGGCTTATAATTTTTCCGTTTGGGTTATTTTGGGAAGAAAACGAAATAAAAGGCGTCCAGATATTGTTTCCGTCATCGGACGGACTTTTAAGTCAAACACACGGCTTCTGTTTAGATACAGATAATTTTCACAGGTACTTGGGTGACAGGACATTTTTCGCTTTTTCTGTATACTATGACCATACATATACTATAAATAAAGTGTTCATTGTATTTGCTATTTACTACCAATTCCAAGTTTACTATCAAGGCCTGTCATATATCTATATATAAATTTTAGTATATGTATGTTTACGGTATACAGAAAAATGTGAAAATAATCGAAATTACTGGAAAACAAAAATATAACGGATTTTGAAAAAAGGGGGAGAGCTAAAAACTTGTCCTGCCCCAAGGTCCTATGACTTTTGATACCATTCCTAAAATTCTTCAGTCATAAAATCTTTTACAAAAATTCACCCTCCAACAGTACATACTTTCAATCACGCTCTATATGCCCGCGTTTCGATGATGTTTTCTAGTAATTATTTAAGGTTTTAGAAAACAAAAAAAAAGAAGTTTGAACTCTCTTAATTTATTTCAATAACAATTAATTCATGTCATTCTGTTTGTAGTGCAATATATAAATTAGCTTTACAGAAAAGGGACAGATTACAGCGAAGGACCAGTCAAAAACCAAAAGTGAAAAAAAAACGACATAACTATTGCCTCAACCTTATAACTACGTGAAGACAACCAACATTCCACTACAGAACAAAAAACATAAACCTCAACAAAACTCAAATCGATGTACTCCTTTAGGCTAAGCATATCCTTCTTCACTATTGGCAACCGTCATGTTTAACATGGCAATACAATTCCGCTATGAAACGTCTAGTTCTGTGAATGTTAACAAATAAAACCAATAGTAGTATACCGGTGTTCAGAAGTTACTCATTGAGGTGTAATACCACCATTGATTTCCCCTATTAGTCTTTGTTAAATTTGCACTTTTCAAAAAATTTTGCAGAATTTATCTTTGTTTCAAATAAAGAAATACTTGGCATGAGTAAAGATTTATCCTGTCCAGTACTATAGAAAAAATTTTACATAACATTTCATTGCATATAAGAAAAAAACCATCACTGGAAGTTAACCAATCAAATGTTCCTCCTTTTTTAACCTGTGTACAAGCTTTAGTAACCATGTAACCTCAAGTTTCCAAAATATTCTATAGAAACCCCAAATAAAGAAATAATGGTGCTTTGAAATACCCAAGATATATGTTTATGACTCAGAAATGTTTTACTGCAATGAAATGTAGGATCAATTACCTACAACTGTCAAATTCAAGGGAATATTTTTTTTCGACCTATTTTCGTATGCAACCGGATGTGACGTACTATGATTTGGTGGTATTACACCTTGATGGAAAACAAATCGGGGTTACAAACTAAAACCGTGGGAAGCACATAAACTATAAGAGGAGAACAAAGGAACAACAGGAACACTGAAGCGCAATAAAAACAAAGGTGAAAAATCAAAATCAAAATCAAAGTCAGTTAAATCTTCACTTGTTATGGACGACAAAGTCAACACTGATGAACTAATTACATTTTTTTCATGTTATTCCGATGTTTTTTCCTCAGAAAACCACATTAATGATGTGTAGCATAATTGCAGCATCAGTTTTAGTACCCGGTATTTACAGTCTTGGGGTTATTGGAGCAATAATAGTAAGTATTGATATTCATCGATAATAACTAAGTGAATTAGCATCGATGTTTTTACGGTATTTGTGTTGGGTATCGATAAAACATTATAGACTTTTCTTTGTGGATTTTTTCGAAATGCTGAAAAATGATATTAATTGATTATAGTGATGGTTGCATGATTTGGTGCTAACTACAACAAAAAATGATAGGGTCCTAAATGAAAACAATCAATTGTAATAAAGGTAATTTCAAATAATGTAAACTAAGCTACGATACTGTTGTCAGGTCATTAAAGATTGCAGATTTTGGCGTTAATATTGATTCACTTATAGGGTCTTTGCATCGGCACTAAACACATTTATTTAAAAACCAGTTGTTGGCGTGACACGGGTTATGTTCTTCTCATATATGTTATGATGGTATGATACTAAACCCCTAACGGGAAGGATTGTGCCTGATATTCATATGATGAAGACATAATCTTTCAATCAGTTTAATTGAAGTCTGGAGCTGGCATGTCAGTTAACTGCTAGTAGTCTGTTGTTATTTATGTATTATTGTCATTTTGTTTATTTTCTTTGGTTACATCTTCTGACATCAGACTCGGACTTCTCTTGAACTGAATTTTAATGTGCGTATTGTTATGCGTTTACTTTTCTACATTGGCTAGAGGTATAGGGGGAGGGTTGAGATCTCATAAACATGTTTAACCCCGCCGCATTTTTGCGCCTGTCCCAAGTCAGGAGCCTCTAGCATTTGTTAGTCTTGTACTATTTTTAATTTTAGTTTCTTGTGTACAATTTGGATTTAAGTATGGCGTTCATTATCACTGAACTAGTATATATATTTGTTTAGGGGCCAGCTGAAGGACGCCGCCGGGTGCAGGAATTTCTCGCTGCATTGAAGACCTGTTAGTGACCTTCTGCTGTTGTCTGTTCTATGGTCGGGTTGTTGTCTCTTTGACACATTCCCCATTTCCATTCTCAATTTTAACTAATTATTGCGAGCGATTTATTTTCGCGAGCAGAAAAATAACACAAATACAAATCGTCGCAAATATATAAAACTTTGATCTTTACTTATTTATCTAAATCAAGCAAATTTGAAATTCACGAAACTAAATCGCCACGAAATTGGCTAGTAAGGTCTAAAGGCGAAATAAAGTATCCTCGAAAATATGTTGGTTTACAGTATGGTAGTCTGATAATAGTTCTAATCATATATTCTTATACCCTTCAAAATGATTTTTATGTTATTCAGCTTGTCATCATATTACACATACATGTATGTCATACTTAGAAATGTTCTTTAAAATTCGTCATCATAGAATAGTAAGTGTAGAAACACGTTAGACGATTTAGAAAAACATTGATTATATTTGTCTAATTCCTTTCTGAGTAAATACATTCCAAATTTTCGAACTAAATGAATTCTGAATGGGATGCATGTTTGCTTTTCCAACGCATTGAACCCCATTGAAAACTAGAAAATATTTTTAAATTTAGTTCAAATGAACCAACAGGTTAATGTGGTCTGTGGCCTGGCCGTTAACATTATATTTTTTTCCTATTGAGCATAACTTTACAAACTATAAGTATCGATCGAAATAATGACTTCGGTACCAGAGGCAGATTTAATATTCCAAAAATTCAGAACCTACAACAAAGATGAAAATATTCCAAGATTTTAATATTTATCATTTTTTATACAATGATTAACACTGCTTCTGTGACATCTGTTTTGTCCTTGTCAATAGAAATAACATGGTCATGTGCCAAACCTATCAATAATGATGTATTAAAACTTTTGTTTTCAAAAAATAATGACATTCCATAATCTAGACAAATCAATGTCGTAGGTATTTCCTAAATTTGAGTCCTTTCCAGTGTCATCAAAACCTAAATTACATCTGAATACCTCAAACCTTTAATAAGTGCGCAAACTATAATGTAAGATTCCTACTTATAAATACGATAATCAATAATCAAGCTATTCTAGTCCCTTTATAAATAACTAGATAGAAAACAACAAATGATATATCCGAATCAATTTCATTCACTACTAAACCTATCTGGTAAGTGCCCCTAAAATCTATGAGCTATGACAGAGCACTTAAAAAATGAAATTGAAAATTTGCTTTGCAACGTTCTCAAGTATTTGTAAATCTAGAACAGCAGACGCGTATAATACCAAACTGATGTTTAAGTTCATGTCAAAATCAAACTGATAATGCATTGACGTTGAATTCATGATGCGTCATACAACAGTTAGAATAAAAGATTTGATTTGCGACGTTTTGCATTTCGCTTAGCCTCAAAAAATAAATATCTACATTATCTATTGTAGAGAGACAACTATGAATTGAGAGTTGTGATTCTGTTGTCTTTAATGACTGTAGTATCCTTTGCAGAAGTGGTAGTGGCAATCATGACCGCTTCATATTGCTGTTGTTGCTCTGCATGGGGAACATCAGATCAGCAGGTAGGCAAAATGGGATCATTTTAACAAGCTTTCTTAATAATGATGTGAAAACAACATAAAAACCGATTCCTTTCAACAACAAAAAAGAGAACTTGTTTAAACGCCATGATTGGATACTATTAAGTCCTTTCAATAAATCAAAACCATTTCGTAAAAGAAGATATATAATTGATCATACCATTTGTAAAACAGTTTCACTTTGTAACATTTTAGATAAAATGTACTGTTTGTTTCTGATATTTTCGTACATTACCTATACCTAAGCGTTGATGCAAAACGGACAATTAAAAACAAGTGTTGCGTCGGTGCGGTAAGAATTTCCTTCTCAACTCATAGCACGTTTTGTGTCGGTCATGATTATTTGATGTCCCTATTTGAAACAAAATATTTGTAATTGTTTTCGAGTCTGCCTCATTTGTTTGTGTGTTTGTTTTATTTTTATGTTTTAAATTAGGCAGTAACTCCTAGCGTGATTTTGCTCATTGTTGAAGAAGTCCAATAAATGCTTTCAATCGCGTTCTTACATAACTCTCTTTACAAATCATTTCACATCTCTTTACGTTTATATTACACTTATTCCTAAAGTTTATATTCAATTGCATTATATATTATGTGTTGGATGAATATTGACCAGAAACAATCAGAACCTCCGCTGGATAAAAGGTAATTTAATGATTCATAAGAAAACATGTTATCAAATGGGGCATATATAAAAAGACTAAATATGTAAAGGTTTTCCTGGGAAAGTGGCGAACTGATATTTGCAAACTTTACATATTTCATTTCTTCTACTTTATTAATTATAGAATAACTAATCGAAGAATTCAAATAGAGAAAAATATTCAACGAGTGACCGAACAACACATTAATTCACGAATGCGCGTAGCGCATGAGTTAATTATCAGTGTTGTTCGGTCACGAGTTGAATATTTTTCGATATTCGAATTCTTTGATTAGTTATTCTTTTTATTACATTGGCAAATGGCTTTTTTAATGAAATTAATGTAGAAAATGTAAGGAACTATATCTTTTTTCTACGCATTCACAATTTGTTTTGATCCGACGTTATCGACGTCTTGACAACGCCTATTGTTGTATGACGTCAGAGAGTGAAATAACCACGTTTATTTCACATGTGAAATTATCGGTTTTTATTTAACTGGGAAATCAATGTAATTCATTGCTACCAATGTAATAATAACTTTTAATAATGGAAATGTAAAACTAGAAAAAGTATCCTATCTGTAGTGCTGCTTTATTTCTTAAAAAGGGTGTCATTTTTGTAAACGGTACACAGCCTGAATTGTTTCTTGACTTACAAACTAACATTCCTATTGGAAATGTTCAACCGGCTATGGAAAATTCTGGACATATAGATATCCCGACAGTGAGCTATCCCAGAGCTAATCAATATCAAGAAAATACTACAAACGAACAGAAAGGACCACAGATTCAAACTGTTGAAGGAACACTGCCTAGAATTGACAGTACACAGCAGCAAGTTGTTGATACTAATCCACTGCCTTAAAAAAATAAAGGAGATAAATTTATAAACTATATACATTTACATGCATTTATAATATATATATTAACTATGTAATTTTAAAGCATTATTTAGTTTCTAAATATAATGAATATTAACAATGTGATGAAAAATAAACGCATTATTCCTCTTCAACAAATCTTTCACGGTCTTGCATATATCCAGACTAAATCGGATCCAGATAAACATCTTTTTAAAGTGCAGATCATTGTACAGTTTAATCAATCAGATTTTATTGTACTATGGAAAATTGTTAGATTTTTGAACACTGTATAACTTTGTATATATTTTAAGGAAGAACGAGCAAAATGATCCATATTCAGCCCAACACTTAAGAAACACTTTAACAGTTCATTAACTTGATCTTAAATATGCGTTTAAATAACTCGGATAAAGAAATTCAAGAAAATATAAGATCACATTCTACACATAACAATCATGGGAATATTTTTATATTTCTTTCATTATTAAGTAACAAGTTTGGAGTATACCTCTAGTAATTTAAAAAAAGAAGTGTGTGCACTAACAAAAACCAGATTTATATTTTGTGAGATTGTGTTAATAGCTTTAATAACGTTTATATCACAATTATTTGTTTTGTTTTGTTTTTTTTTTTTTTTTGGATTTGTTCGATGTTTCCTAAAAAATAATATCGATAGTAAAATGCATTACAACAGTATTTTCTTTCATTTACGTGATCTAGGCGCTAACTGTGATTTAATTCAGACGGCATAACTATATAATTTATTTTGTTATATACATGTTATATATATTTTCAATGAGATACAAATTATATTTTATGTTTAACTATTATATATACAATACTTGTATTTGTATGAATAATATTACTTAATTAAAAAATGTAAACATGGTAAATTAGCAAAACATAATTGGAGTTTTTTTTTTCTTGTTTCTGTTTCCAAGATGAAAGGTTGTGCTGGCTTATATTTGCTTACTACCACTTCATTTTAACTCTGATGGACAATTGTCTCATCGGCAATCTTACCACATATCATCATTGTGTGTAAAATAAGTACAACAATATTAATGCAGACCATTGCATAATAATTCACAAGTTGTTTTGTTTTGTTACATAGTACCTGTGTATAGCCACTGTACATGTATTTCCTGAATAACAAATTAAAGATCGTCAGGCAAAAATATCAGATCATAAAACTTAAGATAGATATAAGAAGATGTGGTATGAGTGCCAATGAGACAACTCTCCATCCAAGTCAAAATTTAAAAAAGTAAACCATTATAGGTCAAAGTACGGTCTTCAACACGGAGCCTTGGCTCACACCGAACAGTAAGCTATAAAGGGCTCCAAAAATTACTAGTGTAAAACCATTCAAACGGGAAAACCAACGGTTTAATCTATATAAAAAACGAGAAACGAGAAACACTTATGAACCACATCTACAAACGACAACTACTGAACATCATATTCCTGACTTAGGACAGGTGCAAACAAATGCAGCGGGTTTAAACGTTTTAATGGTACCAAACCTTCACCCTTTTTCTGAAACAATAGTGTACATCTATAAATAAAAAAAGCACACAGATTGATCAATCGAATATGGCTAAGATGTAAAATAACAAACATAGCGAATATCGCTAATTCAGATGATAATAAAACTGAAAATACATCATGCAGTTACTCAAGGAGTACAATTTTACGATTAATACAGTATTTCAATGAAGATTCCTTTAATTGAGTTAACGAGTAAAGTAGGGGTGTTTGTACCAGATAAACGTTGTAACTGAAGTAGATTTCCACGCTATCGGAAAAGTCTTATGTTTGATAGCTGAAATTAATAAGAATTGTGCTTACATGATCCCAACTCTATTTTCTGACTCATTGTTGACATTTGGTGCAGTTTGGTACGTAAATGCTTACAATAACAGCTCACCTGGCCCGAAGCCTTTCTCATTACTTGGCATTCGTCGTTCGTCGTCGTCGTCGTGGTAGTAAAAGACTAAATCAGAAACGATGTTTCCCTTCAAATGTTTTCGGTACGTTGGAAAGGCAATATTACATGTGAATATTTTGTAAATATTCATTGTAAATGGGCTCTTATCCTTAAACGTAATAAAACCCTTTCAAAGAGAAAAAAATCCAGAAAGTTTAACTTCTCAGATTAATTGGTTTTGTGTGACCTTATTAGATGTTTCAACAGTTGTTTACAAAATATTGTTGTAATGGCTCAGTTTAGAAATCACTGGAGCAATCATAGACACTGATTGAATGATTAGAACTTTTTATGTGACTATGCGTAACTAAAACTTCTTTAATATTTAAGAAGTTTCCCGTCTAAAGTTTTCTAGAATTTTCCCTTCTACAGTGTTTAAGAAGTTTCCGTGACAACTATATATACAGACACCATAATTATACAGACCAGACATTAATATACTTGGATTATTAAAAGATCTCCGGAGTTGTTGGATTGACAATCTTATTTAAGTTAACTACATCATACTACATTGTGAACTTATTGGACATATTCCGTTACAGTTAAGAGAAGAATTCTGGATAAATAAAAGACTAAGGATAGGACATAGATTTCAACAGTTTATTTGACATTTCAATTTGTATGATATTTCTTGTAAAATTGTGTAATGCATCTTGTTCAATTATTATTGATTTGTGATTTTTGTTGGCTACAGTTTAAAGGTGATTTCTGGCCGTAACAGAAATTGGAAGCTCGTCCGGAATAACAAACATGTACATATCAGAACTTTTTGTCAATATATTTTAAAAACATATATTATGTATATTATAAAACATTGAGAAGTGGAACAGCTCTTTTGTTGCTGCTTGTCATCTCAAACTTACGGTGGGATCCGTCATCACGAAGAAAAAAGGAACACCCCGTTGCAAAATTAAAATGCCCATAGCACGAGTTTGACCGGAATGCTCTGCTTGATGTATAAAGTGTAGAAATATGTCATCATTTGCTGTACCGTCTTTATTCAATCAAAAACAAAGTTCATCAAGAGATTTCATAATTTGACACCAAATAATATGTCACGTATAACACTGACAACTCGAAAATTTAAGGCAAAAGGACATTAACTGACAAGAAAAACGTGTAGAAGTACAAATTAAAAGAAATAATTCCCGAAGAAACCCACAAATATGCCCTAATTGTAAATTTTAAATATGTGAGCAAACAACTTTCTCGTAGTGAAACGATATATGCTTTGTTAGTTCAGAATTTTTTTTTTGTAATGTTCTGACAAAGAGAATATCCACAAATTTATATTCAACACCCTAAAAAAATGCTTATTGATCCTTAGTTATACTGTTGCTTCCTTAATCTTTTAATATTTTGTACTGGTAGTAATGCTATGTTGTGCTATCCACGTTGTGTCGATGCATTTATAAACTGACCTGTTGGATGAAATCACCAATATATATGTATCTACTTAAAACTTTTCGTCTAAAAGGTGAATTTTGTTAGACAAATACGAAATATTTAAGTTAATGTCGCGAACAGGCTGTGTTTACACAATACATAATATAAAAAATATCCATTTACACGATACATATTAAATATCCAAGATGAATTGCGCAGGTATATATTTGTAGATCGGTAAGAGTCAAACAGGAAGCTTTTAAACATACTTTTGACAATTTTGTCAAGGATTTTCATTATATGAAGAAATGGAAGATGAAAATAGGTTTGTATTATTTATAAGAGTGTTAAACTTAAGAGTTTCTCATAAATACGCTGTACTTTCAATATCTAAATTTACAAATAGACTTCTTCATTGAAGACTATTTCTTTTTAGATCGTTGATTAATTTAGTGAACTTATTGGACATATTCCGTTACAGTTAAGAGAAGAATTCTGGATAAATAAAAGACTAAGGATAGGACATAAATTTTAATAGTTTATTTGACACTTCAATTTGTATCATATTTCTTGTAAAATTGTGTTATACATCTTGTTCAATTCTATTATTGATTTTTGATTTTTGTTGGCTACAATTTAAAGGTGAATTCTGGCCGTAACAGAAATTGGAAGCTCGTCCGGAATAACGTTCATATCAGAATTGTTTTTCAATATATTTTTGATTGAATTAGAATTAGGCAACAACTATAATCAAAAATGGCATTTGATGCTAGATATTTTTTTTAAAACGCCAGACCTTAAAGGGTTTGTTTACTGAACGAAAGAGGAATAAGTGTTGCTTCCTAAACATATCAAAATACATTTTAGAGTACATTTTCTATGAACAAACAAATTATAAAAAAAATTGAAATAGACTTATTATTGGACACAGACATTTTTTGTGAAGAGACTCATGAACTTAAGGTCGAAAATGTTGATGCTATCAAATTAAAACAGCTTGAACTAGAACAGGAATTTGAATCAAACCAATTTGATAAACAATTTAAAAACAAAGTTAAGACAAAATAACTGGAAAAGACAGGCAGAACTTGAAATGAAGGAAAGGTTAGAAATTGAGAAAATAAAAGAAAGAGAAGAAACTTGAAATGACAGAAGGGTTAGATATGGAGAAAATAAAAATTAAAATGGTCAAAAAGAACGCAACTTTCGAGCAGAGTCAAAATCAAATCATTCAAGAGGTCTCAGTCATAGGAGAAAGCAGACAAAGTGGCCGAATGCTACAACCATCAAGATGACATTTTAATGTGGAAATGGATGCCCTGATGCTATCCCAGAAGAAGAATGGAGAGTGGTATATCAAGTGGTCGTGCATAAAGTCTATTAGAAAGAAATTATTGTTCCTGCCCTTGACACCCCCTTGACTGGACAATAAAATATAAGGAAGACTTCGCTTTTAGATCTTGCAGCATTTCTACTGACATAGACTTAGAAATAATGTAACAGAATACTGCAACTCATGCCATATATGCTTTCCTTAGGCTATTCCGCTAAGAAATATAAGTACACCAACTATTGTTTGTCAAAAGTCTTATCAAGTGATTTATATTTATATTAAGACTTCCTAAGTTTGATGATTTCAACTTCATCATTTGGAACTCTCGGTTAGATAGCTTCCTTGTGAGCAGCAACCCTCTATCAAGGAAATCATGATAGGAAATACAGGCCAGGGAATATTGTATCAATTGGGAAATATATACTCAGTATGCAGGGGCTGCTGGATTGTTGCTACATAGACATGGAAAGTGCACAATAAGGAAGCTAAAATCATCTCTTTTGTCGTAAAATTTTGTTTTCAACCGACCCTCATTGTCAATTTCTAGATGTAAGTCAAGATATGAGGCAGACTTAACTGTATCTGTTGTATCCTTTATCTCTACTTCGATGGGATAGATGCGTTCAACATAGTCACCAAGTTAAACAAATATGTATACTAGTTCAGTGATAATGGACGTCATACTAAACTCCAAATTATACACAAGAAACTAAAATTTAAAATGATACAAGACTAAAAAAGGCCAGAGACTCCTGACTTGGGACAGCCGCAAAAATGCGGCGGGGTTAAACATGTTTTTTGAGATCTCAACCCTCCCCTATACCTCTAGCCAATGTAGAAAAAACATACGTACAACAGCACGCACAGTAAAACTCAGTTTAAGAGAAGTCCGAGTCCGATGTCAGAATAGGAAACAAAAGAAAATAAACAAAATGACAATAATACATAAATAACAACAGACTACTAGCATGCCAGCTCCAGACCTCAATTAAACTGATTGAAAGATTATATCTTCATCATATGAATATCAGGCACAATCCCTCCTGTTAGGGGTTTAGTATTATACCGTCATAAAATATATGAGAAGAACATAACCCGTGTCATGCCAACAACTGGTTTTAGAATAAATATGTTTAATTCCGATGAAAGCATCTTGATAATGTCTGTTTCAAAGAATTTTTTGTTTGAATCAGAGAGATTTTTTATAAAGTAGGATTTATACCTCCCTAAGACAAGATACTTGTATCTACGTTGGCCATTCTTTTTTATGAAACAAAGCAATACCAACCCTTTCAATTTGTGTATTAGTTTGGAGTGGGGAATATTTGTGTAAAGTGAAGAAAAGTCAAATGTTTTAATACTATTGCAGGATGAAAGAGTCTTAGATTGTATGTACTCTAAAAGATCTTTGGAATTTTTTAGTATCCACATCTGATTCACGCCACCTCTAGAATAGACAGTTTCACAAGTAAACAATTCAAAAATAATAACTTGAATTGGCCAATTTACCTTCTCTTATACAGAGTTTCATTTCATTTCTTTAATTTCAAATGGATATCATACTGAACCCACTTTATAAAACATCGAGAAGTGGAACAGCTCTTTTGTTGCTGCTTGTCATCTCAAACTTACGGTGGGATCCGTCATTACGAAGAAAAAAGGAACACCCCGTTGCAAAATTAAAATGCCCATATCACGGGTTTGACCGGAATCCTTTGCTTGATGTATAAAGTGTAGAAATATGTCATCATTTGCTGTACCGTCTTTATTCACACAAAAACAAGGTTCATCAAGAGATTTTATAATTTGACACCAAATAATTTATCACGTATAACACTGACTACTCGAAAATTTAAGCCACAAGTACATTAACTGACAAGAAAACGTGCAGTCGTACAAATTAAAAGAAATAATCCCCGAAGAAACCCACAAATATGCCCTAATTGTAAGTGAGCAAACAACTTTCTCGTAGTAAAACGATATATGCTTTGTTAGTTCAGAATTTTTTTTTGTAATGTTCTGTCAAAGAGAATATCCACAAATCTATATTCAACACCCTAAAAAAATGCTTATTGATCCTTAGTTATACTGTTGCTTCCTTAATCTTTTAATATTTTGTACTGGTAGTTATGCTATATTGTGCTATCAACGTTGTGTCGATGCATTTATAAACTGACCTGTTGGATGAAATCACCATTATTTATGTATCTACTTAAAACTTTTGGTCTAAAAGGCGAATTTTGTTAGACAAATACGAAATATTTAAGTTAATGTCGCAAACAGGCTGTGTTTACACAATAAATAATATAAAAATATCCATTTACACAATAATACATATTCAAATACCCAAGATCTATAGCGCCGGTATATATTTGTAGATAGATTAGAGTCAAACAGGAAGCTATTTAAACATACGTTTGACAATTTCGTCAAGGATTTTCATTATATGAAGTAATGGAAGATGAAAATAGGTTTGTAAAGCATTATTTATAATAGTGTTTAATTAAAAGTTTCTCATAAATACGCTTTACTTTCAATATCTAAATTAACAAAGAGACTTCTTCATTACACACTATTTTTTCTTTATGTCGTTGATTAATTAAGTGACAATAATTACATTGTACCATGAATCATACTATTCTAATAAAACATCTTATTATGTACCTTAGACTTCGTCTGATATTTATTCTAAATTATATTTTCATTCAGAAATATTTCATGTTACCGACTTGTATTAAAAAGCTTGCCTTACGGATTAAACTTAGAGAATGTCCGATCTATAGTGATTTAGACCTGTAATTAGCTATTGTAATTATTCGGATGACTTTTAAAGTCAACATTGGTCAACAACTTTTTTTCGAGGCTGGAAAATCTTTAATTATATTTTGATTGGTGGCAAAATCTTTCCACATTATAGATAATCATAAATAGTACGTACTTTGCTTACTAAAGAAAAGAAAACTGTATTCTGCTTAACACATGTGGAGCATTAACTACTTTCCTTTCCAAAGCACCTGTTTGCATCCTCCATTTTTTGTCTGGTTTAGAGATGCTAAGTCTCTAGTCTTGTATGTAAAGTTTTGTCATTGTTGTTTTCTCTTTAGTCGTATTAATGTTTTGCTATGACGTTGTCTTTTAAGTCGGACTTGTGATTTACAAATGTCCACTTGGTATCATTTCTATTCTTCATATTAAAAAGTTTTTTGTATATATATTTAGCGTTATATTGCAGACATCAAATAGCATACCAAGTTGTACAAAACAGGGTCGTCACTAATTGTCAATCTTTTCACATTTTTATTCGATAATGACTAAAACGAGACCGAGTGTGTCAAGAAGATAAATGATCCAGGTATGCCTGCAGTTGGGTACAGACCAAGCTTTACATGTAGACGCGCGAAAAAAGTTACCGCGGCGTTTTCTGGCGTGCACTTCATGTAGACGCCGCGTTAATTCTGCGTTTACTCCAAAATTGTAGTAGACATAAAAAAGTAAACGGGCGTTTACTTTCACGTTTCCTTCCGCGTTAACGCGAAAAAGGCGCGTCTTCTAATTTTGTTCATAGTAAACGGGCGTTACCGTGAAAGTGGCGCGTCTTCTGTTTTTCTTTGTAAAAAGTAAACGCACGTTTACTACTGCATAGTGGGTTACCCTAATGACTGAAGCAATGATAGGACAATGATAGAACAATGACAGGACTAACATGAAAATTCCTAATAACTTTTTTTTAATCATAGGATTTATCTTAAATTTGAACTATAATTAAATTTCATTATTTGATATTTAAATATAAAAAAAACGAAAAAATAATTTCAAAACTTGCGAAAACATGACCTGATCAACATTGACAATGACCAGACTAATATCATCAATGACAGGACCAAATGAACGTGCTAATAACTTTTTTTATTTCTCAAAGAATTCATCTCAAATTTTGAAATACAATAAACCGGATAAGAATAAATTGTAAAACATAAAAGTGAAGACATTTA